TCTAATAGAATTTCATCAATTTAATCTCTTCCAAATTTCATTATTTCTTGCATTTACAAGATTTCATAATCATTTCTATAATAATTCTTATATCAATTGCATCTTTCTTTTGTATCAAATAAGTAAGTGAAGACTTTTTGAACATTCAAAAAAAGTTTGTTCCACAAAATGCTTTTAATATTTCCTTTTGGAGAAAATTCTCTGCTCATTTGATGTGTACAATTCTCTGATCATTTGATGTGTACATTTACATAAAATAAAAATTTCTAAATATATCACACATTATAATCGTCATGAAGTTAATATATAACTGATTTTTGGGATTCTTTGTTCGTTTGAGATGCATCGGATTTTTGGGGATTCTTTGTTCGTTTGAGATGCATCGGATTTTACATTATGAACATAAAGTAAAATTTCTGGTTATGTAAACTCTTTGATGAAATTATTTAATCAGGTCAATTCTGTATTACAAGTATTTAACAAAGGATTATTAATTGTAGTGATAAGAACTAATTAAATAATATCTTGATATTTAAAATCGTATTAGAATTATATTTGAATGAAAATTATTTATATTAGAATGAAAATTCCGGAACAATACCAATACATTGTTTATCCGGGATCACAAGGTAATGAATTTATTATGTATATTTGCAAATTTGGATATTATTTGAGAGAAAATGTGCGATAAAATGTGCACTATCTTAAAAACAAATATATATATAAACGCTTTAAAATATTATACGGGTTCCAAAAGTTCAGAAAGTAAAAATGTCCGACGTTTCTGATACTGAAGTTAGGTTTAGATTGGATTCAGCCCAATTGTATTTAACATATACAAAGTGTGACCTTGATCATGAAGATATACTTAATTATGTTAAATTTCAATGTGAAAGTAAAAAGAAAAATGTAAAAAATTATCTTATAGTACGAGAACCTAACAATAATGAAATTCACGCATATTTTCAGCTTGATTTGAAACTCTGCATAAGAGATCCCCATTTTTTCGATATTGATATGATTTGTTATAATAAACTATATCGTCCAAGTATAGAAGGAGTTCGTTCTCCAAAAAAAGTAATGGGATATCTTATTAAAAGTAACGATTATATTTCTAATATGGCAATCGATACTTTGGATAAGGCTATTAATATGATTAGTTCAGGAAAAACTATGGGTGAAATTGCGGCCGAATGTCCAAAAACTTATGTCTCCCATCATGGAGGTTTAGAAAAGTTAAAGGCTCGTGTTGACGAAAAAGAACATAAATTTAAAGGAAAACCATTTGTAGAAGTGCATTATGGTGATAAAAATTGCGGGAAATCAAGCTATACTGAATTATATTCTGACGATATAGCTTATAGACTTGATGATATAGGATATTTTGATGGATATGATGGTCAAGAAATATTGATATTTGATGAGTTTAACGGAAATCAAGTAGCATTGGATGTGTTTTTAAAAATTACATCTGGACAACAAAGACAACTTAACGTTAAAGGCAAAAAGGTTATAAATAAAGTTCGCCATGTTATTGTTACTAGCAATAAACATCCTAAGGAATGGTATAAAAAAAATAAATATAATGAGGAACAGTCAGATTGGAGGCTTGACTGTATTTGGAAATATATTAAAAATGGAAAGTCTTTCTCTCAAAGAAAGATCAAACGCAACCCATATACATTTACACAAAAGAAACGAATTCTTAACTATTTAAAAAAGATAGATTATCCAAAAAAATTTCCGGAGTCTTTAAGTCATGACGAAAAAATATTTGTTGAAGGATATATGGACATCCCTTATAATCCAAAATTTGATGAAGATTCTTCTGATGACGAGTCTTCAGGAGTTGTAGTTCATAATAAGTTCTCTGAAAATCATAAACGTAAAGGTGATGATGAGATTTATAAACAGTTTGATCATGAGAATAGGAATCATCCGTGTTACAAACTTTTAAAAACATCACTTCGAAAATTGTGATGCGATTGGTGATCTAATTGGCTTATCACAAATAGATACGTACGTACTGTACATAGGGACATGTCTGCTATATGCTATATATCAACCTCTCTATAGACGCATAAAAAAATTCACTTTATGATCTTTGTAAGCATATATACGAAATCCATTTTATGATCTTTATAAGCACATCTATTTAAAACCAATTACTACAACATATTAAGCAAACCTCTATAAGTCATACTCTCTATACTCTATAAACACATCATATAAAAATTTTCATTATAAGCGCATCTCAAACAAATTATATACTACTTTTTTAGTAGGCGTGACATTTACTCTAAATCAAAAATTTTAGGTTCATATCATTTTCCCAACATTCATTTCTGTGACAATTATTTCCGACACAATTCTTCAACATCCCGACAGATATTTTTCAAATATTTCTTTTCCTAAAAATTACTCCCAAGTTCCAATATATATATTTATTTTCACTTCCTCAACATTTTCGTTTTACTAATATTTATTAATAAGAAATAAGCAATTTAAGTTTATGAGCATTTATTGTTTAATTCGTGTTAATTTGTATATGTTTAGCATTTATTAATCAGCATAATAAACTAAGCTATTCAAGTCATAAATATTTATTAATTAATTTCTTTTATTTGCATTTAGACGAGTACATTAATAAAAATATTAAATTCACAAAATTCACTAATTTCTTTTTTCATGAGCAAGTTAAGGATCGTTTATTAATTCAGATATTTAACTAAGCTATTCAAGTTTATAGATACTTTCAATTTAACTTCTATATTTATAGGAATAAAATGAAATTAAGTAGTAAATATCATAAACTTTTCATGAACTTAAATTAATTATTTTTAAATACTGTACTTAGATTGCGAATAAATTGTTAAATCTTTCAACTAAAAAGCGATAAATCAGACAAATGTGCTTGTAGTATTTTGCTAGAAAATCAAAATTTTAAAAGCTTTATCACAGTTTGCAAAATGATGTATCTTTGATCAAATTTTTAGATCACAGTCTTACATGTACAATCACTTGACTGTCGTTCGATTTTGCGATTGTAAAGTAATTTTCTTAATCAAAACCGAACTTTTTATATCCATATCCTTAAAATAACATTCACATTCTCAATCGCGCGATATGTAAAATTTGATCAAAGATACATCATTGACTGCAGATCATTCATTGCTCAATTTTCATTAGTTTTTCATCTGGATATTGCATGAACTTGCATACTTGTTAGCAAAAATATTATTAAAAAGTTGTCAATATATTGTATATATCTATATGAGTGTCACTGTATTTCTTTGAACGTAAAAATTTTGGGCTGAGTCTAAACATTTTTAATTTCATTGTTACATGAATCATATAATCTAATTAGCAAGCAATAAATAAGAATACCATTTCTTAAAACCTCTTTACATAATTATTTTATATTATTTTTTAATAGGATAATAATCATAAATAAAACTATTATTGTATACAAGGAAATAAACATAGCGCCACAGATTACTCAATGGTGCAGAAATACTTATATCAACGAGTTATCACCTATTGTGTCAATCTGATTCAAGTTACTTACTAATCATAATCTGTGGGCAAGAAATGATAATGTGGAATAGAATCGGAATTACTTCATGCAGAATCAAGATTGAAATACGTAGCTCCTGATAATGTACTAGATTATCCGTGGTGTCAGAATGAACAACAACAGTACATGAGTGTTAAATTATTTA